CAGAACAGAAGAACTATAAAATAAGTTATATAATAATAAGATAAGGAAACTTATATACTGAGGATATAGAGCCCGTTCTTTTAGAATACGGACCCCGTATATGTTACGAGCAGGACAAGGCAACCAACTGTGGCACAAAGCAAAAGCTTCGATAATGATGACTCCGCATCATTTTCCCTTGTTCTGCATTATATAGCTACGCGCCCACAGTGACAAGTTGCGGCGGGCGTAACAGTATATTTAAGATATAGAACCCATTGGATAAATATATAGGTAAAGGATATATTTAGAATTAGGACTTGTATATAAGATAGACTCGAGCCGGGCTCTAGGATAGACTTCCTATAGCTTCTTTAGTAATTAACTTCATATTAGATATTATAATCGCTTTTAACTATCTTCCTTGAGAATCTCTTTAATAAGACTACGATTAATTACCGAAGCCTTAACTTACCTACTTTATAAATACAACCTACCTAAGACTATTTAACTATGTATAATAATTATCCGATTATTACATCTAATTATTACATCCGATTATTATTATTACTAGTTCTATAGTGTTAACTTTTATAAATATATCTTACTACGATTAGCTGGCCGTAATACTTTAATTACTCTTATTTAGTAAGTTAACCTTACGAAACGGCTAATAGTAAGAACGACGACGTTTTTTAAAGCTACCCCGTCTACTTCTTTTAACGACTTTAAAAATAAGGTCCCTATACTTACTAAGACCCTAGATAAAGAAATAAAAGACACTAAAGACTCGAAAGAAGAACTTAACTTTACCTATAAGGTCTATAAAGGCCTATAAAAGAAGATTAAAAAGAATAACTCCGATATTGCTATTATATAATAGATACTTGATAATATTATTAGACGGCTCGAAATTAAGACCCAGGTTAAAGAAGGTAAATAACCTCTATACTACCTCTAATATCATTACTATGCTATATAACGGATAAGAGAAGCTTAGGCTTAACTTACTTTTGTCACGGTAGCAGGCAGGTTGTTTGGCAGGTGGATGCTGGGCAGGCGGATCAGACAATCTATTGCTACGGGCAGGCTCTATCCTAAGCAGGTACAGGCTCTGTTGACAAGACGTAGCTCAAGGAGCTACGTTTCTGGACATGCGCGACAGAATACAGGATGCAGAGTTTTATCCAGCCTCAGGCTTACGTAACCCGGCCACCGGGTTACTCAACACCAACCTCAAGGTTGGGGTCTAGGACAGCGGGTCTGTGACAACTTTAAGCCTTCAACGGAACCCTAGGATAACTTAAAGGATTCTTTATATAAGTCAGAGCTTAGTAACGCTTTCACGAAATAAACTTTAAGGACGAAGCCGAGAAGGTCATTTATGCCGCCTTCTTCTTAAAAGGGAAAACTCTTATAAAGTTCGAATTATATTTTACCAACTTTATAATAATTAACCACTAGAATAGTTACTCTTAAACTAAAGACTTGAAATATATTTTTAAAGGACTATATAGATTTGAAAATGCGCTTTTATCTCTATTATAAGAATTAAATAAAGAACTATAACACGAGCGAGAGCTTTTTAACCTTCGATGGAAGGGATTAGCTTCACTCTATATTATAGAATTTAAACGAATCTGCGCCCGACTTAACTACTCCGATAACACTAAGATCTTTATATTCTATAAAGAACTTAAAAGAAAGTTAAGGACAAACTATTTACATAGAATAGACCTAACGTAGTTCACAAGCGAGTGGGCCACTCTCTTATCGCACCTTAAAGGTCGATTATTTACCTATTTATTGAAATTCGAATATAAGGCTAAAATTAATAGACTATTTTACATAAGCTTTAATAAAGGCTATAATATAAAATATGATATTATATAAATCATATAGTTATAGCTTTATATAAGAGGAAATATAAAAATAGGTCTACAATAAAGCTAAATTTCTATATAGGAGTTTTAGAGGTATGTATGATTTTTATAATATTATGTTTTATAATAGAACCCTTATCAAAGCTCATTTGAAAACGCTTCTATATTTTAATCTTATATCCGATTTTTAATAAATAGTTAAAAATTGACCTTTAAGGTGCGATAAGAGAGTGGCCCACTCGCTTGTGTGGCTCACTCGCTTGTGAACTATGTTAATGACTTTTTAATATATATTAAACTAGCTATTAAGCTTAATAACTAACTTTATAAACGACGAAAGAAAAAGAAGTACGTTTTATAAGTAAATACCGAAAACGCTATTAACTACGCTTTTAAAGATAAAACTACCCTAGAAACTATTTGAGAGTCTCTCTAACAGAGCCGTCTCTGACAGAGGGGGTAAGACTGTGGCCTGACCGTATAGGTACGGGCAGGAGAGTGCGAAATGAGCAAAGCGATTGAAGCACGCGCAGAAGAGCAAAGCGAAAGAGCAAGTGAACGTCAAAGGTAGGTCATGGGTGATGTGTATCTTCAAGGTTGACCCCCTTATGTGGAGGGTCACGGTCAGACCGTCTTAAGTAAAGAGGCCACGCTTATCACGTGACCGTAGCACTAAGTGTGCTGATAGGAAATGTCACACTATTAGTAGTAAAACTAATAAACTATATCCTATAGATAATATAATAGACTAATAGACCTTAATATGGCTAGATAAAAATAACTATATTAAAAAGAAGTTTTAAAATACTTTAACTACGATAAGCTAGAGTATATATCTAAAAACTATTACTTACTTAAACCCCGAGAAGTAGATTAGAATTGCTATTAATGAAGTCCCTTATAGATAACTCTCTTAGATAGTATATTATAACGATAGTTGCCTCATTTATTAAGATAGTAAGAAATAAATAGGTGTTACAACCCAACATGCATAACAAGGCCAGGGGGCCCGCCCCACAGGCCTGCGGCGGCTATCTATCTGATATACGCAGAGAATCCGGGAACTCAGGTGACTCCTCATGGAACGGAAGAACTATGGAACAAGTCACGTGACGATAAGGAAAGTGAGCACACGATAAGGTGATCATAGTGATCACCTAAAGTGAGCGCTTACCAGTATCCACTTAGTGATCACCAACGAACATGGTGATCAGGCAACAAAGGATATGTTCAGGATCAGGACTTGTATATAGGATGGACTCGAGCCGGGCTCTAGGACAGATGTTACGAGCTGGAAAAGGCAACCAACTATGGCACAAAGCAAAAGCTTCGATAATGATGACTCCGGCATCATTGTCCCTTGTTCTGCATTATATAGCTACGCGCCCACAGTGACAAGTTGCGGCGGGCGTAACAACAGACTTCCCATAGCTTCTTCAGCAATTAACTTCGTATCAGGATTAACATCCGCTTTCAGCTACTACCTTGACAAGACTACGATTGATCACCGAAGCCTTACCTACCCTTACGATTGACAGACATAGTTTCCTTGAACTATTCCACGACTACGATTACTGTTACCAGTTTCGCAGCCTCAACTTCTGCAAACTACCCCTACGACTAGCTGGCCGTAACAGACGGCGCCCGTATAAGAGCGGCGCCTATTAATTCCCTTAAATAATAGGGGTAAAATAATAATAAGAAGGCTAGGAGGCATTTTTAGGGTGGCGAAAAGTGGGTAGGTTAACTTACAAAATAGGATGCCGCTCAATAGGTACTCTCTTTATCACTCTTTCTACTATTTCTGTTAAGTTACTACTATTATTCTTATTATTACTATGAGTTATTATTATATCTTTACTATATTTCTTAAGAGGTATCCTATAACTATAGAATATTTCAAAGATAGAAAGTGATAATGATAATGAAAAGTTAATGATAGGAAGGATAGAAATAGAGCTAGGTACTTCGTGTGGAGCGGCAATCCATTGTGTCACCCACTTGACGGGGTCCTGCGGCGGTGCGGTACCTACTCTTGCCGGAAGGGGAACGTGGGGGCCGGAGGCGTGAGCTTTCATTTACCGGATGATTGTTGAGAGTTTGCCATCTGAATCCTTCAACGACACCATGCATGTCCTTACCGACCAAAGTCCCTTGAGAATAGTCCCAACTCATCACTCTCCGGCTGATCTAGGCCATTCCTGATTATTCACGGGCACGGAGTGTTTGGCAGCACACTTAGACACATCCAATGTCGATTTCGTTGACATACGAGATACGAGCGAGTTTGGCACCTGCTTCAAATTGCAATATGAGATATGCTAGGTACCTACTTGTTTGGAATCTTACCCCCGCCGATCCACTCGACAGCATTGAGAGACATCATCATTACTCAGATTGCATCTACGACGGCTCGGCACGATAAGCAAACGGTCTTGGTACCAGTAAGGGGCGGGAAATAGGATCTTTGGTGCAGGTTGGTCGGGAGAAGCCTTTGCTGACGTGGGATCTTTCGTCCAATATTTCACCGCCCAGCCCTACCTCCGAATCCTGACGTTAGACGCTTGTGGACTTTTGACGTATCACTGCCATCGTTTCGCCCGAGGGGTAAATGCAGCTTTCGATAGTCGACCCAAGATCAACTGCACGTCAGAAAGACTCGAGTCCAGGCGTGTTTTAGTCTCAGTCGTGACCTTTCTAAGACAGCATCATCGACATTTGGCAAGTAATGAACCTTGCAATGATCGACTTTGGCTGAGATTGCTGACGCCAAGCCAACCATTACCTGAATTGGCAAATTCATGCTTAGGCAAAACTTTTGGCATCTTAATAAGTATACTTTATCAAGCTACTTAAGCTTTCTCTTATCAGGCCAAAGTGCTCATTCAACCCAAGTGTTTTCATGTCATTTGCTCTTCGCCACTGACTTTAAACGTTCGGTTGCGAAGGATAACCCAACTCTCCATCTGGCCGACCATCAATCCATGCCATTTTATCATGGCGCCATTTTTGGAATCAGTTACAGAAACGCCTGTTAGTAGCTTCTTTACACTACGTTTGCACCATCATTTCTAACCTTTGAGTTCTGCTTTGCAGCCAAATGGGCAAGCAGGGTTGACGGATCTGTTGCCAACCGGTATGGAGCCAATTGCGATTTGCGGCATGGCCTTGAGACTACCCGGTGGCATCGCAACTTCTGAGGAATTTTGGCAATTCCTGGTGGACAAAAGAGACGCCCGTTGCCAAATTCCCGCATCCAGATTCAATGCGTCTAGCTACTACTCTGAGACCGGAAAACCTGGCCACATCAAGACCCAGCACGGATACTTCCTAGACGACTCCGTCGATCTTGGAGCGCTCGATACCACATTTTTTCGAATGCCCAAGAATGAGGTTGAGCGGGCTGATCCTCAGCAAAGACTGCTCCTCGAGCTGACCAAAGAATGCCTGGAGAGTGCAGGCGAAGTTGACTATCGCGGCAAGACGATTGGAACTTTCGTCGGGTGCTTCGGTGAAGACTGGCTCGAGACGTTGACCAAGGACAGCGAAGTCGTTGGCCAGTACAAGATTACCGGCTACGGAGACTTCATGCTCTCTAATCGACTGTCTTACGAATACGACCTCAAAGGACCGAGTATGACCATCAGGACTGGCTGCTCCTCCGCCCTGATTGGGCTCCATGAAGCATGCATGTCTATCCAGCACGGCCAGTGCAATGCCGCTATTGTTGCTGGGTCCAACCTCATCTTGGCACCTGGACTGTACGTCAGCATGTCTGAACAGGGAGTTCTGTCGCCGAATGGCTCATGCCGAACTTTTGACGCGGCCGCCGACGGCTATGCCCGCGGAGAAGCCGTCAACGTCGTCTACATTAAACGCTTGAGCGATGCTATTCGGGATGGTAACCCAATTCGTGCCGTCATCAGGGGGACGTCATCCAACGCTGATGGCAAAACACCCAGCTTGACGATTCCAAGTTTCGAGAGTCACGAAGCCATGATCCGTCGTGCCTACAGCATGGCAGCGATTGATGCATCAGACATTCCCCAGACCGGCTTCGTGGAGTGTCATGGCACGGGGACTCCTGCAGGCGATCCCATCGAAACGACAGCCATTGCAAAGGTGTTTGGTGATTCCGGAGTTCACATTGGTTCTTGTAAGCCAAACATTGGCCATTCGGAGGGTGCCTCCGGCATCACATCCCTCATCAAATCCATCATGGCCTTGGAGCACCGGACGATCCCCCCGAACATCAAGTTTGACAGTCCTAATCCGAAGATTCCGTTTGCGGAGAAGAACCTCAGAGTCCCCCTTGAACCAACACCCTGGCCAGAGGATCGGGTTGAGCGGGTGTCTGTCAACTCTTTTGGAATTGGAGGTGCCAATGCACACGTCGTAATTGAGTCCGCGGCGACCTTCCTTGGTCGCCTTGGACGCCCGTCTGTCCCGGATCCAATGTCAAGCATCTGGAACCAGGCACAACTCATGACATATTCCGCCAACACAGCCGATTCTCTGCGAAGACAGGTCGTCAACAACCAAAGATACATCGCCAAACACCCTGAAATCCTCAATGACATTGCGTACACTCTCACTGCTCGCCGTGCCCACCTACCGCAGCGAGTCTTTTCGGTTATGGAAAACGGAATCGAGCTGAACACATCGACACTTGTCAAAGCACCCAGCACCCCCACGGACCTCGCTCTCGTATTCACGGGTCAAGGAGCTCAGTGGCCAGGGATGGCGGTAGCGTTGATGTTGAGTAACCGCGTATTCGCGCAATCCATCCGACACATGGATAAAGTCTTGAGGTTGCTACCGGATGGGCCATCCTGGACCTTAATCGACGAGCTTAACAAGCCGAAAGAGTCGAGTCGACTGCAAGAAGCCTGTATCTCTCAGCCGCTTTGTACAGCCGTGCAGATTGCCTTAGTAGATGTCCTCCGAGCCACAGCGGGCATCGAACCGTTTGCTGTGGTTGGCCACTCTTCTGGAGAGATGGCTGCCGCTTATGCTTGCGGAAAGCTCACATCGAATGAGGCGATTGTTGCGGCATACTATCGCGGAGTTGTCTCATCAGAAGTCACCAAGTCCGGTGCAATGGCCGCAGTAGGTATGGGTCGAGCTGAAGTTTTTCCGTTCCTGAGACCAGGCGTTGGAATCGCTTGCGAAAACTCTCCTTCAAGTGTCACCATCTCTGGCGATACCCAGATCGTTGAGACAGTTCTCAACCAGATTCGTAAGGCAAAGCCCGATGCCCTCGCTCGCCTGCTCAAGGTCGACACTGCGTATCATTCTCACCACATGCAGGAAGTGGGAGATCGATATCTCACTTTGACGTCTCCTTATATCGATGCCTCGAAGTCTACGGTCACGTCTTCTACTTCAATGTTCTCTTCAGTGACGGGTAGCCTACTGCCGCCAAATTGGATAGCTGATGCGCAATACTGGAGGTTAAATCTTGAGTCTCCGGTGTTGTTCAACGCAGCTGTGACTAAGTTGGTTGAAACCCACAAGAGTCAAATCAGCAATCACTTGGTGTTTCTCGAAGTTGGTCCGCACTCTGCTTTGGCCGGACCTTTGCGGCAGATCCTTGCGCAGAACTCATTGAACCTGTCCTACGCTTCCTGTCTTGTCAGGGCAAAGAACGCGACAGAGTCTTTCTTGACAGCTCTTGGACAACTCTGGCAACTCGGCCTTGAGATTGACTTTAACCTTCTCACCAATCCCGAACGAACCGCCAACGTGGTTGCAGACTTGCCCGCATACCCATGGCATCATGATCATTCATTGCTCTTTTCAAGTCGCATTTCCGATGAGTGGCGGCACCGAAGGTTCCCAAAACATGAGATCCTCGGCGTGAGGGTCTCAGAAAGCTGTCCCAACGAGCCGGTGTTTCGCAACATGCTGTCCTTGGATCATGTACCATGGATTTCTGACCACAATATCAAGGGCGACGTCATCTTTCCCTGTGCAGGCTACATTGGTATGGCTGGGGAAGCTGCAAGGCAACTCAGCACGGGAAGCTTCACTGGATACTCAATGCGCAACATTGTCATTGATATGGCAATGGTCTTGAGTGCGAACAAGGCCACAGAAGTCATTACGAGCCTTAGAAAGGAGAGGCTTACGGACACCCTCGATAGCCCTTGGTGGGATTTCACGATTACCTCTTTCAATGGTTCCACCTGGATGAAGCACTGCAGCGGGCAAGTCAAATCCCTTGAGGATAAGGCTCGAGTCTCAAATCATTATCGTCAAGATCTTCTCCGCGATGTCAGCTCCGACAAATGGTACCAAGCTCTCCGCAATGTCGGCGCCAATTACGGTCCGTACTTCCAAGGCTTGTCGGATGTCACTTGCTCTCCGACAGAGAATATCTCTGCTGGTACAGCAACACATACTATCCGAGACGATTCTTACTATGCAATTCACCCAACGAAAGTCGACTTCTTTCTCCAACTATTCAGCGTTGCTGCAATGAAGGGCATCGGACACAAACTCGACATCATGAACGTTCCGACTTTCATCGAGGCTCTTGAGCTGTTTGATTGTGACTCAGAGGTGCGAATGGAGGTTGAGGCAACTCAGACTCCCCGCGGCCTGCTCTTAGGAAGGGGATTGGGCCTTAGCTCTGAAGAAGAGCTTGTCATCTCACTTAAGGGAGTAAAGTTGAGTCCACTCGAAAACGATTTGTCAGGTGAAGATCTTGATCCTCATGCTGGAGCAAGGATTTTCTGGCAGGCGGACATTGATTTCTTCAAGATCTCGGATCTGATCGAACCTCACCCTGAACAGAAATGTCTCAGTCTTACCCGAGATCTCACGCTGTCTTACATCAAGGAAGCCCTGAGACGTCTGGAAGGCGTGGCGAGTTTGCAGCCACACCTATCACGGTTCCTCGCCTGGATGCAACAGCAACCAGTGCTGCCCGGCGCCAAAAGTATTAGCAGTGATGATATTGAGTTGGGGCCGTTCGGTCCTCTCGATGTTGCGATGCGTGTAGTCTTGGACAATATTGGTCCTATTTTCAGAGGTCAAACCGAGCCTCTTGAGGTTCTGTTGCCAAACAACATCTTGACTTCTATCTACGACTCTTTGAACATCACCAACAGGGAACCACTTTTCCGTGCACTTGGCCACTCAAAACCCAACCTCAGAATCTTGGAGATTGGCGCTGGAACAGGAGGGACTACAAGCAAAGTTATTCACTGGTTGAGAGGACCGACCGGCGCATCGCTGTATTCCGAATACACATACACCGATGTATCTGCCGGGTTCTTTTCTGCCGCAAAGGACAGGTTCAGCTCCCACTCCAACATGTCCTTCAAGGTGCTCGACATATCCAAGGACCCGACCAGTCAGGGGTTTGAGCCAGGAACTTACGATTTGGTGATTGCGGCCAACGTTCTTCATGCCACTCCAAGTTTGAAGGAGACTTTGGCCAACGTCCACAAACTCTTACACCCCGAAGGGAGGCTGTACATAGAAGAGCTGTCATACGATGCCTTACCGCTCAATTTCATCATGGGTGTCCTTCCAGGCTGGTGGCTTGGAGCTGAGGACCAGAGACCAGACCAACCACACGTTACGCCCGAGCGCTGGGATGTGGAACTCAGAAACGCTGGCTTCAACGGCCTCGAGGGTGTCGCCTATGATTCCGACCGTCCGAACAATCTGCTTGCTTTCATGACAGCCAGGCCTGTCCCAGCCTCCACTACTCCCAGAAGTGTCACGATATTGCATGACTTGAACTATTTTGGCCTCGGAAACAACCTTCGAGACGTTCTGGTGCAAGGACCTTTGCAGAGTGTGGACCTGCACGAAATTTCAAAGGGACTTCCATCCGAATCAAGCGACTTCATCTCGCTCCTTGATCTCGAGACGCCATTCTTCGACGATATCAGCCCGGAGGCATTCGACAAGTTCCGTGGCCTGGTCACAGAGGCTTCAAACCGACAGGCTAGAATCCTTTGGCTCACTCGCTCTTCTCAACTCAAATGCTCTGACCCACGATGGGGTCAAACTATCGGTGCGGCACGGTCTATACGAAATGAGCTTAGCTTAGACTTCGCAACTTGCGAAGTCGATCAGATCACTTCGACTTCACTCCGGGCCATTTCACGGGTCTTTGATAAGTTTCAAAGGAGTGGCAATAATGCCCGAAGTTCGTTGGAGTACGAGTACAGCATCGTGGATGGTGCGATACAAACTTCCAGGTTGTATCCCATCAATGTCAATGATGAACTGGGAACTTGTGGTTCGGATCCTGTCGACTTGGTCTACGATCTACGCATCGGTAGATACGGCCGCTTGAACACGCTTGACTGGTATCCAAAGGCAAGGCAGCCATTAAGAAGTGACGAGGTGCTTGTAGAAGCCAGGGCTGTCGGCATGAACTTCAAGGTAAGCATCACGTTCCTCGGAGTTGACACAACAAAAATAAATAACTGACAATATGTAGGACGTCCTCATTGCCATGGGTATCGTTGACTCGAACATCAGTAATCTCGGTCTGGAAGCCGCTGGAATCGTCCGCGAAACTGGACCCGATGTCACAACCCTTGTCTCAGGCGATAGAGTCTTTGTCTTCGGCGGCGGCTGTTTCTCCACCGGCATCACAATTTCGGAGAAGTTGTGCGTCAAGATTCCAGACTCGTTGGCATTCCGAGATGCTGCTACCATGCCATGCGTATTTTCGACTGTGATCCACGGCCTGCTTGACATTGGCCGTCTCACTGAGGGAGACTCTGTCTTGATTCACTCTGCTTGCGGAGGCGTCGGCCTCGCGGCAATCCAAATCTGCAAGATGGTGGGTGCGGAGATCTACTGTACTGTTGGCACTGACGGAAAGGTGCAATACCTTGAGTCAATGTATGGAATACCGAGAGAACGAATCCTCAATTCCCGCAACGATTCTTTCCTTGGAGATATCCAGGAGTTGACTGGCGGTCGGGGTGTAGACGTCGTCCTCAACTCACTAAGTGGAGAGCTGCTGCACGCTTCCTGGAATTGCGTGGCGGAATTTGGTAAGATGATTGAGATTGGGAAGCGTGACCTTATCGGTAACGGCAAGCTCGCACTGAATGTCTTCGAGCTTAATCGGAGTTATCACGGCGTGGATCTTGGACATCTGATCGAACTCAAGCCGAAAGAAGGAAACAGGTGGGAACCACCCTGGGAGGTGTCGAGATTCGATGGCTATACTAACAGATCATTAGATTGTTGAGACGAATTGTCGAGTACTACGAACAAGGTCACATCGGCCCGATCGCTCCAACAAAGGTTTTCCGCGCGGGAATGGTCGAAGAGTGCTTTAGGTACATGCAAAAAGGCCAGCATATCGGCAAAATCGTGGTGGCGATGGATCCCACAAGGGAGAATCTATCCATCGGGTCTGCTTCCAACGGCAAGCCTTCGTTCAACGGCGACTCCAGCTACCTTCTTGTTGGCGGCTTGGGTGGTCTTGGACGTTCAGTCTCTAATTGGATGGTCGAGCATGGTGCAAAGCATCTGATCTTCTTGTCCCGACAGGGTGGGGAGACGACCGAGAATCAAAGGTTTGTAGCAGAGCTTGAAGCCCAAGGATGCTCAGCTATCACCGTTCGAGGGGATATCAGCTCGCTATCAGACGTCGATCGTGCCATCAAAGCTGGAGTTCAGCCAGTCCGCGGCGTCATCAACATGTCGATGGTTCTACGGGACCAAAGCTTTGCCAATATGAGCCATGACGAGTGGACGGCAGCGGCAGATCCAAAGGTCAAGGGAACGTGGAACCTTCACCACGCCTGTGTTAACGCAGAGCTGGACTTGGATTTCTTTTTACTCTTCAGCTCCATTTCAGGCATCTATGGACAAAGAGGACAGGCCAACTATGCCGGAGCAAACACATTTCTCGACGCGTTCGTCCAGTACCGCCAAGGTCTGGGTTTGAGGGCCGGTGTCGTTGACGTTGGCGCCATGTTGGACTCGGGCTATCTGGCCGACAACCCGGCGTTGATGGAGAGACTGATGGGTCAAGGTATCTACGGCATCAAGATCCCTCAACTTCTGGATGCCCTTGCATTGGTTCTCAGTGCACCCGAACCCAGTGCCGAATGCGCAGCAGCGTCTACATTCGTCAACAATGCTCAGCTTGTGCTTGGCCATCGCAGTCTCACGTCTTTGAGTGACCCGGCGAATAGAGTTCCATGGAAAGAAGATCGACGAATGGGATACTACTTTAACTTGGAACACGACCAAAACGCTGTCTCGAGAAGCACCTCTTCGGATCACGGTGCCCTGGCTGCATTCCTGAAATCGGCGGCTGCAGATCCGAACGTCTTGACTTCGACGGAGACCTCAAAGTTCATCGCAAGGCAGATTGCTGTGCAATTGTTCCAATTGCTGTTGAAGCCTATCGAGGACGAAGAAGAGATTGACGTGAACATGTCGCTTCAAGATGCTGGTCTCGATAGTTTGGTGGCGGTAGAGATGCGCGAATGGTGGAAAGGAGTATTCGGATTCGAAGTCAGTGTTTTGGAGATGCTCGGCATAGGCAGCTTATTAGCTCTCGGGAAAAGAGCAGTAAAAGGGTTGGAAGAGCTTCTGGGGGGAGTTGGGGATGAGAAACAGGAGCCCGGCGAGAAACATGATACTGAGAGATACTTGAGGCTGAAGATGCCTTGATCGCACTTACTTCAATTGAACTTTGGGGGACGTTTGTCCCACTAACTGGAATGCTCCAAGTTTCACTGTGTAACCCGAATAAACAACTTGGGGAGAAAGGCGACGATAACAGTACCAACTGAGATATTCCAAGCATATTTCTGCTTCGGGACGTGATAAGCCTTTAGAAGCATCCTGGGCAGTACAGTGAGGATCTTGGCGGGCGCAACACGGATGCCCGAAAGCCTTCAAGTCGGGTTAAACGCTCGGGTTTGAATGCCGTTGTCAAGCGCGGACATGGGATAACTTTCATACAAAGTAGAATTACTTACTCTATAGATTTTCTCTCGTGGAAAAGGAATATGGTTAACTTATGCGATTGCACATCAAATCTCAAAGGTACGGCAGTGCCTGATGTGTCTAATCCGACCTACATTGAAACCTCCGCCGGAGTTCCTCCGCAACTCATACTTTAACTCTCACTTTGTCTTCTCGTCAAGCATAAATGTGTTACACCCATTCTCAACCATGCCTATCGACGGGTATCGTACCCTTCGATACGCCGCTCATCACTCTCGTAAAGTGACTCCGGTCCTCGCTTCCGAAAGCTTCACAACCATCAAAATATCGGACCTGGCCCCTTTTTCATCCTCGTCTACTGCCGGGCTCTCTACCGAGGATGGTACCCCTGCTGTAGCCCCAGTCGGGTGCCGAGGTCGGCACTTAACGCCCAAGCAAGCATTTCATCCCAACGTAGGTACTCGTACATGGTACGGGCGCGCACGTCCAGCTTCACCGACAGTATCGGTGAGGATAGAATTCGTCCCAAATCGCCGCTGCCAAGTCGAACTTGAAGAGTGTTGCATTAGAGTTGGTCGGCCGCTGGGAAGTCCTCCCGTCGCCTTTTCTTCCGAAGCGGACCTTGCCCGAGCGGCGAGCGGCCGCCGGCGGGCTTGCTGCCTGGCATGTTTCTGATGCTGAACAGGCAAGGATATGTGTTGAATACCTAGCGTCACATACGGTCTCTACACAGTATGACACTTACAAGAGATTTGGAGAGAGCCGCCGACAATGCCATTGCAAAGTCTGAACGTACTTTATTGGCGCCAGCGCAGAGTCTCCGAGGTGGTGAACAGCTGTCGAAAAGCGGCATGTTCTCGCCACAGTGCCACCACTGACGACGAGTACCTGAGCTCTTGTTTTAGGAATCTCAATAGCAACAGGTGCAGCGCGTGTGTGGGGGTGTTGCAATCGGTGAGCTTGGATGCTACGTCTACATGTAGGAAAAGACAACTGTCGTTGTAGATTCTCGGCAGAATGCGCATATGCCCAGGGCACAGACTTCTGGCCCAATCCTGACAGTGATCAGATTCGAAACGGAAGACATGGGCCTAGAATTGGTTAACGAGTCAACAACATCTGGTCTGGTCTGGACGCATCGATATGGATGATGGACATGGGATGAGCGCTTGAGTTATCCAGTCTGGGGTGTGAGTGTCAACGGGCACGGAAGGTTCAACCCAGCACTGCTCTCGGCAAAATAGCACTTTAAGTTTTCATCATTCGGGGCATTTTTGCCTTGTGTGACTACAGTCGCATGCGAATACTTATACGGTTCAGATAGAGTAGCCAGAGCGTAGGGGATGGCATAGGAACGGCTCTTAGTCTTCACTAGAACTCAGTCTAAAACTGTATCTATCAGAGGCATGATATTGATGGAAGTCGCACATATGTTGCCATCCTCCGCCCTTAACTCCCGCCGATTCTTTCATTCACACGTTGTAAACTCGCAATAGCCCCATGTACCGTTGTTCTAACTGAAAACTTGGCGGGGGCCACAAATCCACAGAAGTCCCGAACGAGTGAAAGATAACAAGAGAAGAAAACTCGAAAGATTGATTGCTATTAGTACCTCACTGTAGATGGAAGCGTATACCTCCAAGGTCAAGTTTGACGACCTGTAGCGTCTTACATCCTTGGTTCCCCTCTGTTATGGGGGCTTTTTTTTTTAAAAGACGATGAATTTCTTGACCCCATTGTGGGCCATCCCTGATACTAATTAGTTCCGATTTCCTGTTCTTTCTTGCAGTTGTCAACGTGAAGCCAGTTATTCGCGGCTTTGAATTCCTATTCTCCAGTCCCTTAAGGTAAACTAGGTGACTTGATATGGGACAGAGACAATGCTCCAGTGGCGCGAGTGTCGTGTAGCAAGGACACTCGCGCCACTGTGTTATACGAAGTAGATACCGACAATCTGGAACTAATTAGTGATTAGTGATGTCTTGAATAGCACTCGTGCATGGCGCTCGACATTTCAGCCAAAATTAACCGAGCCTCGGCGCTCAGCTGCAGCCACAACTAGATAGGGGCATAGCGAAGAGGACAACCCCCGACACCGTCATCAAGGTAGGGCAATGGAAGAATTGCCATGGAATAACCGACATTGAGCCGCTAACCCCACGACCGGAGACCAAATCGATGCCGCTTGGGGTTTGTGGCCGTGTCCTAGGGTGGTATCCGCCGTGTCGGCGAGTCGGCGAGACCACCGTGAGCAACATTAGACCGCGTGTCGGCAGGGGTTCGGATCCTTCTAGCAGACTGGCATGCAGACCTTGGTCAGCGATGGCCTGACGAACCGGCCACTCAGTAACAGGCACTACGGCATCTCACAGTTTTGAGACAATTTTTCAATTACCGGCTGGCGCCAGAGAGGCAAAACATCTCAGACGACACGCACGAACTTCGCCATCGCACACGAAATAGGTAGCGAAGGCGCGAGAGAATCGGGTTTTGATTCTTGGGGGTTTGAGTCATCATTTGTATTCTGTCACTCCGTGTCTCTGTCCAACGTAGGTAGAATAAGTCGATAATGTAGCCTTGACTAACAGGCGCCCTCTCACCTTTGTAATACTGCTTGCACAATTCGTGCGCCTTATGCAGTCATCAGTGTAGTACAAAGCCACCAGTCGAAAACGGTATGGTCTTGGCCAACAGTCGGGGTACATATCGGTGTCGCAAGCAGCGCAAGCAGCAGTGAATTAAGCCGATTTCTCAGCGAACCACCGACTTGCGTCTTTGTGCATAATGACGGCAATTACTCAGCACCGAGCGGCTCAACAGTTCGTCCTTTCTCGCCGACATTTGTATGTTCTTGATGTTTGGAGATGTACGATATTGAACTCACCACGCCCATATAGAGCCTTCCATATAAAGTTCAATGCTTCTTGATCTCCGTCAAGGTTTGCCGTTCACAATAAGCACGGACAGAGGAAACAATATCCGTAAATTCACATCCCGATCGCAAAGCAAGATATAACATCATCCCCACTCAACAAAATGACCAAAGTCGAAGCTCCGCTGGCCGCAGACCAGGCGCCAGTTCCCGGTGCATTGCAAGTCTCAGACCCCGGCTTGATCAACGAGGGAGCCAAAAATGTAAGACTCCTACCCCCAGCACAGCGAGAGGCGTTCATCCTGTGGGCTGCCGTGCTGCCAGCCAGCACTGAGACGGTGACCGCACCGCGGGAAAACCTCCGCGAGACCACTGTCCGGAATTCCAAAGTGCCGTACTGATTAGCCCGGATGAAAGGTTCCGTACTTCACCCCCATCCAGGACCCAGCCGCCGGGACCGCCAGGGACCCTCAGCCAGATGGCACGCTCTTCTCGCCGCTCAAGATTCGCGGCCTGACGCTGCACAACCGCATCATCGTGTCGCCCATGTGCCAGTACTCTGCCGACAAAGGGCACATGACGGCATGGCACAAGACGCACCTCCAGAGCTATGCGGTCCGCGGCGCCGGGCTGGTTCTGACGGAGGTCCAGGCCGTAGTGCCCGAGGGCCGCATCTCGCCCGAGGACCTGGGAATCTGGGATGACTCGCAGCTGGTCGCCGCTAAGGAGGTCATTGACTTTGTTCACAGCCAGGGAGGGCATATTGGTGCCCAGATTGGCCATGCCGGCCGGAAAGCGAGCACCGTTGCGCCGTGGATTGACCGTAAGGCGGTGGCAGGCGAAAAGGTACCTTGGCGTTCTGAACCCCCGTATCCGTACTCCGTAGAGAGCTCCCGTCTCACACACACTTGCGCGTTGAACAGTGATCAGCACAACAGCTAACACACATTCTTTACAGGGTCGGGGATGGCCCAAGGACGTCTACGGACCCTCTGCCGTAGCGTACAGTGATGACACCTACGTTCCCAAAGAAATGACCTTGAAGGACATTGAGACTGTGAAAGCGAAATGGGTTGATGCCGTTAAGCGTGCTGTCAAAGTCGGATACGACGTAAGTTTCATTGCCGGGGGGCCCAGTTATTACTGTTCTTTTTTTGTTTCCAGCTGTTGAATTATTCTGCAGACCATCGAGATCCATGCCGCCCATGGGTACCTGATCAACAACTTTCTCTCGCCCACGTCCAACAAGAGGACCGACCAGTACGGTGGCAGCTTCGAAAACCGTTCCCGCTTGCTGGTCGAGCTGACAGAACTGACACGCGCCAACGTGCCCGAGGACTATCCGGTTTTGGTGCGTCTCGCTGGCACCGACTATCTGGAATTCGACCCTTCGATACCACAGTGGGATATCCCTCAAGCCCAGAAGCTCGCCAAGATCCTCGCGGACAAGGGTGCGGATTTTCTCGATATCTCCGCCGGTGGGCAAGATGCGAGAATGAAGGTCGTTCCAGGGCCCAAGTACCAGGCCTATATAGCGGAAGCTATCCGGAAAGCCGTTGAGGGCACCGGCACCCTGGTTGGATCCGTCGGCGGCATCGCGACGGGGAAGGACGCCACGGAGGTCTTGGCGGACGGCCAGGCAGACGCCGTCCTCGTGGCCCGGGCGTTTCTCAAAGACCCTAACCTGGTATGGACTTGGGCTGACGAGTTGGACATTGACGTCCATGCTCCTAGTCAGTGTGAGTTGAAGATTCTCTCCATTTTCTCCAATCCCAAAGAGCGTTATTTTCTCCATAAATTAGACTTTGGCTAAACTCATGTTCCAGACGGTTGGCCTTTCGGACGCACA